TCCTAAAGTTCCCCCTAAAGTTCATCCTAAAGTTCCCCCTAAAGTTCCCCCTAAAGTTCCTGCTGTATATCCGAGTCAGAAGGAGTAAAAAACATTTAGTTTTCTTGTTTAACCACAGGCAGAGTTAGAAATGACCTCCACGTCAGAGAGACAGGAGTAAGTTTCACCGAAGCTACCGGCTCAGAAGAGTTGCACTAATGGGGGATCATGTTTTTTATTAAAAAGTTGCTGTAAAATAAATATTTTGTACATTCTGTTTTACTGAAATGTCTTTTTAAACTAAAGACTTGGCATAAAAAATTAGTCCTTTAAACTTGAATGTTATTTTTGTTCAGACTGAGATCACTCTCAGAGATTTGTTTGAGAGAAAAACTTTATTTTTTAGGCAGTTTAAGAAGGAGCCGGATGTTTCCTCATAACGGTCGTGAAGTTTAACGGAGTCCAGGGTCAGAACCGAACAAGAACTCATGATGACTCGTCAATAAACAGAGGCGTGGACCTGGTCTTCCTTCATCCTAACACCGTCCACTTCTTGTCTTCCAGAGAGACGAGGCCCGACAGAACTGAATCCCGACTCCACGGAGATCCTTCCGGAGGCTTCGAACCGACGTCTCCGGAGGACAGGGAAATGAAGAGACGGCATGAGGGGCAGAGTTAGGCATCGTTTATTCCAAAATATAAAGCTCTAAGGCAAAACAGACGAGAGAACGTGAACAACGCTTCATAAAAAGCAAGACAAACCCAAGTGAAGAACGAAGCTCTGCGAGGCCACATCAAAAAACAAGAAGTCTCAGGAGGGACACAAACCAGATCACTGCTGTCCAACATGACAGAGTTCAACAACAGGCCCCCCGATTTGTGCGATAAAAACATCTGATGAGAGTTCACATCTTTCACTACATTTATGTCTGTGGCGGTGGGCGGAGCTTCATGCAGGTCCATGAACACCGGGTCCCGCTCCACAGCGACACGTTATGTACAGAACAATAAAAACCGGATGTGTGCAAAGTGTCCGTTGCTTCCTGTCTGTGATGTAGTCCACTCTGGAGCGTGATTGTGTTGTTAGCATAGTGTTCTGGATTGTGCGTCGAGATGAAATGATTTGAGGTGCGCTGCACGCGACCGGTCGGGTCGTCTCCTCGGGGCACGGCCAGGCGTCGGCACACAAAGTGAAACTATTCACAAGCTTTACAAACAGCATTCTGCAGTTTAGTGTCTTCTTGGCCAATTTCATCGCGGCTCAGACGTTTGTGCTTCCTGCCAAGAAGTCTTTATAAAAGAACAAGTTTTGACCTTGGTGGTACGACAAGTTTAAAACCAATTTAAATAGCTTGACTTCTTTAGCCGTTTTTAAAAAAACTTCAAAGGAACCCTGAAAAACAGGGCCGCTTGTTTTAATTAGGAATCTGTACAGAAATATTCCTTACAAAACTGAGCACAAAAAGAAACAACACTCATTTCATGTTCGTATAGAAAAATAAGCATCTCTACGTTTCTGTCTCCACCCGAGCCCTGCGGCGGCCTGGAGGCCTCCGTCAGGACGTGGAGTCCACTGGAAGAGTGTGCACGTCTACTCAAAACACAGGCATGCAAAAGGTGAAGACAATCCGTTACATATACAGCTCTCAAACGCTGGCATCCAAAATAAAATCTGAACGGACGGGGAACAGATCAAAACTATCGGTGGATAATAACAGAACAGACGTTGTGGTGTTCTCAACACATCTTTTTCTTCTATTTCATGGTTTCTGGGGCTTAAATATACAAAAAGTGCACTCACCTACATGAATAAACTCGTTATAAAACAGTTTGGGAAGTGAAACTCCGCAGACTGCAGGTTGGAAGAGAGCAGGACGGCCGTGGACGACGTCCTGAACGTTTGTGCTCAATGAGAACCCAACGCATCTTCACCGAGGAGATCCGCTTCAACACTTCATGCACGTGTGACGAAGGACGTCCTACTGCAACGAGTCGCTGTTGTCCAGGCCCAGCCCGGCCATGTCCGCGTCGTCGTCTTCGTCTATGCTCTCCTCCGACTCGTCCTCGCTGTGGCCCCCCAGCATCACCTGCTGCACCGCCAGCGTGGCTCCGTCTGAGGTCAGGCTCTGCAGCCCTTCCATGTTCATCGTCACCAGCGTACCTGAGGAGGACGAGTTCTAATGAGTATTATTCATCGTTAAATGATGAGAATAAAAATAACCCCGGGGTCTTTTTCAGTACCATAGCTAATAAAAAATCCTCTCTCTGTTGATTCATGTGTCCCTACAACTATAAGCAGTGATGACGTCATGAGATTCTTTATGAATAAAATTATTTCAATTAGAGAGAAAAATTCAAACCAACATTCCTACTATCACCTCTGGTTCTGTGTCAGATGAAACAACTTTAAAAATGTCACTACAACCTGATTTATGTTTGGACAGTTTTTGTCCTGTTGAGCTCTGAATTGTCAAAAAATAGTATCTTCATCCAAACCATCCATATGCCTGCTAGATCCCATCCAGACTGTTTAAAGACGTATTTCTCTTAATTAATAATCACGTCTTTGATCTGCTTGATTTGTCTCTAATAAACAGTTATGTACCACAGAGCTTTAAGATTGCTGTAATTAAACCTTTACTTAAGAAACATAACCTCGACTCAGGAATTCTGGCCAGTTATAGATCTATATCTAATCTAACTTTCATCTCAAATATTCTAGAGAAAATAGTTGCAGGTCAGTTACATGATCATCTACAAAGAAATAATATGAAGAGTTTCAGTCAGGGTTCAGAGTTCACCACAGCACTGACTCTGCACTGGTGAAAGTCACTAATGATATTCTCATGGCCTCAGACAATGGACTGGTGTCTCTACTGGTCCTGTTAGACCTCAGTGCTGCAGTTGATCACAATATTTTACTACAGAGGCTTGAATATGATGTTGGGATTACAGGAACAGCTCTAAAATGGTTTAAATCATATCTATCTGATAGATTACAGTTTGTAAATGTAAATAATGAATCTTCTTCATACACCAAAGTTAGTCATGGAGTTCCTCAGGGTTCAGTATTTGGACAAATAATCTTTATATACGCTTCCATTAGGTAAAGTTATTAAACAACATGGGATAATTTTTCCTCCTTTATTTTACCAGGAAGAAATCCATTGAGATCATCAATCTCTCTTACAAGGATGTCCTGGAAATTTTCATCGTTATGCTGATGACACACAATTATATTTGTCCATTAAACCCAATGAATCCAATCAGCTACTTAGACTACAAGCATGTCTTAAAGACATAAAAACCTGGATGACCCTTAATTTTCTGCTTTTGAACACAGACAAGACTGAGGTTTTGGTTTTGGACCTGAGCACCTTAGGAATATCTAACGAAGCTGTCAGGGACTCTGGACGGATTCTTCGTTGTGTTGCATTCTGTCTTTGTTCTTGTTCAGTCTGAAGACTGGAGAAGTCTTTTGGATTAAAAACAAAATGTTTCAACACAGAAGAAACCTGAATTACTTTGTTACGTTCATCTACCTGGATTATTGAGCAGCATCAGGAAATCTTAGGAATGAATGTGTCAGTCTTTCTCCCTCCTTAGATGCATTAATCTGTCCTCCAGCTCTAATGTTAAAAATCTTGGTGTTATTTTTGATCAGGACATGTCTTTTATCCCCCACATTAAAAACGTTACTAGAACCTCCTTCTTCCACCTGCGTAATATCACTAACATTAGAAACATCTGATCTAAAGATGATGCAGAAAAACTGGTCCATGCATTTGTCACGTCTAGACTGGACTATTGCAATGGTTTATTATCTGGGTGTCCAAATACTTCAACAAACCATTTTACAGCAATCTACAGAAATGACCTGGATCTTTGACCTTTATTTGCCACCTTGACCTTAGTGCTGGGCTGAAGAAAAGCTTACGTGGCACGCCGTCTAATGATCTCGATGCGTCTGAAGTTTCAGCAGTTATGGGCGGGACTAGAGAAAGCTTAGACGTATAAGAATGACTGATTTATGTTGAGCTGCTAAAACTCTGAAGTGAACTCAGTTTTTGTTTCTGCTCAAACCGATCAGAGTAAAAACAGGACTGTGTTCACTCTGACGGACCTAAATGGGTCTTTATCCACAAACATTCAGCTTCCAGACGACTCAAAGCGCTGTGATGCAGCTGCGTACCGTCGGGCATGGTGACCTGCTGCTGCGCGCCTCCTCCCGTTGCGATGGAGTCCGGCCAGAAGCGCTGCAGCGGTCGGTTCTGTGGCGTCTTCTTCTTGGTTTTGGGAGCCTCGGAGGAGCTGGCGTCCAACATCGGCTGCAGAATCCGTCTCCGTGCGTTTATAAACCTGGACAACACAATTTGTTTCTTTCATCTCCTCCTGGCAAGACCTTACAACAAACCTTTTTATATTCAGTGCAGACACCATGGTGGAGGGGTCAAAGGTCAGATTCGCTCATGAAGACGTCATCGGTGGTCAGCGGGGACAAACAGGAACAGGTGAAGACCTCACCTGTTCATGATTACCAGCGGATTCAAAACCATTTTAGGACCAGGGGAGTGGACTTCACCAGAACCAGAACCTCTGCGGTCCAAATAAAAACAAGAACCAAAGTGGACACAAGGTCTGAGGACATTTTCTGAGCCCAGGTCCAGCCCCACCACCTGGTCAACAGAACCGAGCCCAGGTCCAGCCCCCCCACCTGGTCAACAGAACCGAGCCCAGGTCCAGCCCCCCCACCTCGACAAAGAACACAGAAGAGTCGAGCGCCTGCGTGTAATCCAGGGGAAACGCTGCTCGGACATTTGGGTTCCTCCTTCTGGAGGAAAAACAAGGTGTAATAAAGTTGACCTTTGACCCCGTGACCTTGAAATGAACAGGAATCACCCTTGACCTTGGAGGTGTCCAGCTGTGCAGTTTGACGTCTTCATAAGAACTTGTTAACACTTTAAAAACAGACGAGCTGATTTTTTCACAAATGTTCCTCCATTCATTCATTCACGAGTTAAATTATTGTCTTTTTGTCCATTTTAACTTTTAACAGTCAAATGTCCCTGCCTTGATCAGACTGTTTTACATGTTTTACAACATTTTATTCATAAAAGTAAATAAAAATAAAAGTCTATTCTCCAAACTAAAGAAGAAAACGACAAAAGATGAAACCGACCAGTTGTTGACCTGCAGAAGGGTCAGGTTGGTCTGCGTCGCAATCTGTTTCTTCTCATCCTCTGTTGGATACGGATGCTGCGCAGAAGAAGACACGGGGGAATGAAACTTACTGACGCGCACACACACGTGCACGCACACACACACACACACTCACCCCAATGTGCTGGAAGAGCCAGGAGCGCATGACGTTGGTGGCGTGTTTGGGCAGAACGCCACGTTTGTTCTTGGTTGAGTTGTCATCGTGATTGAAAAGGTTCAGGTCCTGGTGGAACTGAAGCTGAAGCTGAGAGCGCGCACGCACGCACACACGCACACACACACGCGCACACACACACACACACATTAAAAAACGTGATTTTATGGGTCAGAACCAGTAACGTTTGGCCCTTTCTCACAACAGATGTTGAAAATAATTTCCCACGCGTGGGACAATAAAGACCGTTTCTATTCTACTTTGTTTAAAAACCAGAGCCGAGCGTTTTCCACAGAACTGGTTCCTGAGCTCGGACCACAGCCCCGAGGAACCGGAGCCATCTCAGAACCACCTCAACACACACGCTTCTCTCACGGACGTAGTTAAGTGACGAAAACTGTCATTTTGTTCTCAGGTAGCTCCGCCCCTTCCAAATACAACGTTCAAGGACTAAGTGATGGTCAGAAGTTTGTGGAAACATCAGCTGCACGACTCCAAACACTCCCACAGAAAATGGACTGAACTCCCAGAACTCCTGCTGATCAACATACTCAAAGCTCTTTACAACACTCTGTGCCCTCATCTACCACACACACACACACACACACACACACACATTCATACACTACTACACACACACACACACACACACACACACACACACACACACACACACACACACACACTCTACCACAGCTGTACAAAGAAGACCTGGATCTGTAGATCAATCGGAGCTTCATCACCTCAGAGACGACGAGAGGTTCAGTGTAAACACTTTGGTAACAGCTTCTGATTTAAACGTGCTCTGTAAATAAATCCGACTTGCCCAGAGACACTTCAACATGCGACTCCAGCTGGAATTGAACCCCCGACTCTCCCAGTGGAGGACGACCGCTCTAACCACTCAGCCACAGCTGCTCCCAGTCATTCCCATCAGCTCTGAGCTCCAGTTTCCCCGAGCCGACCTCCAGTCTGCTCCACAGCAGCGATTATGATCAGAACATTTTCAAACGGACCCGTTTCAAGCAGCGCTTGTGAAAAGACGGCGGTGACAGCAGGACATGCAGGACAGGAGACAAACCCTGTGGACGTGGTCTCTCAGAGGACCAAACGTTTACTGAAGACCACCACTTGAATAATTCTAAACCCAGTTAAGCAGCAGCTCTGGAATCTGTTGGACGGACTGCCCCGACCCACGGCCCGGTCCCCTTTAAGAAGAACCATCGTGGACGCCGTCGGCGGTACCTGATTGTTCTGGACGCGTATTGTCCCGGGTGACAGAGCCTGGGTCATCATCTGGCCCTGGGGAGTGACGACGGTCACCGGTTGGTAAACGGTTCCTCCTGAAACAAACACACGAGCTTCAGAGACTGAAACACGTGACATCATGACCGCCCCAACGGGTCAGCACCTGGGGGAGGAGCCGTGTGACGTACCTGTGACCACCTGGGTGGGGTTGACGGCTGTGACCGTGACGTTTCCTTGCTGCAGGGCTGAGGCAGGCACCACAATCTGACCCTGGGGGCTGATGGTGCCTGAGATGGAGCTGGGGGTCTGCAGCAAACAGCAACACATCATTTCCACTTTGATGAGGTTTACACCAAACTGTGTGTGATGGTTCTGACTCAAGTCCACCTACAGTGCACACCTGAGTCTTGGTGGGGGAGAAGTTCTGGGGCTGGCCCAGTGCGGGGGAGTACGGGCTTCCTGGATCTGCACTCAGCAGGGTCTCGCTGTTCATCTTGGTCTTCAGGCAGGCGATGTAGCGGCTGCAGAAGTCCTTGCACAGGTCGCTCACCTTCTCCAGCTCCAGCAGGTGGATCCGCAGCACCTGGATGGCTTTCACCATCTCCACAGGACGGAACAGAGCGGGTCAGGGACCGATTGACAGCTACCTCGAGCTCACAATGAGGTCTACTTCTAAAACGCAGATAGGACGGTTTTTAACTTTTCTGATCACCAGAGTGGGTTTTACATCGCAGGAGGTTCTGATCTGGAGGTTTTGGATTGTTCGGACCTCGTTTACACTTCAAGGATCTTCTGGAAACGTTAAACGTTCACACGGTGACCATGTTCTTCAGACAAGTTCACAAAACTGCCTGATGTTTCCATGCCACCAGGTGGCGCTGTGATTTTTATGACTTTATTACAATTTCAGGAAAGTTCAGTAATTTTGGAATAAGAGCGTCGTCTGACGCAGGAGACCATGTGGGACAGGTCTGCAGCTGTTGAAGCTTCAACAATCATCTTTTTCTCCACGTTTGAAGGAAGACGTTACAGCACGGGTTCCCATTAACCACCGAGGGAAAGAGAAGCTTTGACAATAAGGATTAGAAATAACACACAATTCAAGTCGACGTAAATCTGCATTTGTTTTGAATTAAAAAGTCAATAAGTCACAAAGACACATCAAAGAAACTGCCTCATTTTGTGCACATTTTAAATTTGCTGCACTGAAGAGTTCAACGTTTTAAGTTTTATTCAAACTGGTGTGAAACATTTTTCCTTCGTTCCATGAACATGGTATTCACTTTTGTCCTAGAACTGAAAAATATCAATAAATGTTAGAATTCTTTGTCATTTTTAGTTTCGTCACCTCCACTGGCTGGACGCCACCCCCCTCCTACAAACTCAAACTGGCCCGTGGGCCACCAGTTGACAACCACAGCTGCAACTGGTATCGCGGCTCCGGACACGGTTCACTCAGTGAGCGACCGGAGAGATCAGGACAAACAGCACTCTCCTGTCTGCCCTCGTGCACACGTGTGGTTTCACGCAGACGCTCGGCGTGTCCAAAAACTAAGAAATGTTCAGGTCTCTCTTACAAACTGGGCCTTAGAGAGCCAGGCATCAAAACGTGTCTGTAGCGCTCTGGAATTAAACCGACAGGTGTCTGTGACGCCGTTTACAACTAGAGAAAATGTCTCCCAGGGTTTCTGAGCTCCTTAAACTCTCAGCGCACGAGACCGTTTGGAGACTCCGAGCAAAGTACAAGCAGCTCACCAAGTTGTCGAGTTCAGGGTCCTCACTGAAGAACGGCTTCCCTTCCTTCTCCTGACAGCGGACGAAGTTCTCGATGTCCACATCGAAGCTGGCCGAGGTGATGCAGTCGGAGCTGAGCGTGGACTGCTCGCACTTCTCGAACAGCAGCGCCAGCAGAGGGAACAGAGGGTGGCTGTGGACGAAGCACGACACTTCAAGGAGACGTGAAAAGAACCGTTTCATAGAAGAGCCCAGAAAACACACAAACCGATATATAGAAGCTTTATCTGCGTCCATGGGGGTCTGCAGTTCGCCAGGCGCTGGACTGGGCACGCCCACCAGGGTCCCGTCGAGAAACTTCTGCTCAGGATCGTCCACCTTCAGCACGCTTTGCATCTGCACAGGAGGAGAACGTGGAGAGGAAAAGAAAAAAGCAACTGTAAAAGAGTAAAAAAATAAAAAACGACAGACAAGGTCGAGAGGGAAGGAGGAGGGAGAACACACGAGGAAGATGAAGATGAAGAGCAGCACTTCCACTGAAAGTCTTCAACTGTAAAAAGCACCGAGATTTAGAATTTCATGTTTATATTCAGCTCCTCAAAGGGATCATCTCTTAAATTATAGAAACGTGCGACACGTTATACGTCCACCAACAAACTAGTATACAGCCACAGCCCAGACATCAAAGACCCTGAATCACCTTTGACCTTGATTTGTGACCTTGAAGATGAAAAGATTACACGATTCACTGAGGTACAAATTCATAAAGATTGGTTCAATTATCTTGAGCGGATCAGAAACTGGTCCAGACGAGTAAAGACCCGGTTCTAACTTTGACCCTGAAGAAAGTTTATGGACGAACGGCGTCTACCCGTCCTTTTGAAGGTGACCCCTCACCCATCACGGGGGTCACCTTCCAGAGACCCCCCGTGATGGGTGAAAATCTGAGAAGTAGCAGCGTTATATTTATTTTATTATTCCATCCATCCATCATCTTCCTCGTGTTCTGACTCAGGTCTTGGTGCAGCATCTTGAGCAGGGAGGTCCATCTCCTCCACAGCCTCTTCCAGCTCTTCTGGGGGGACTCTAAGACGTTCCCAGACCAACTGAGACGTAGTCTCTCCAGCGTGTCCTGGGTCTCCTCCCAGTCTGACATACCAGGAGAGGCACCCAACCAGAGGTGAGGGCAGGAACGTAGACGGAGAGCTTTGTCTCACAGCTCAGCTCCTCTTCACCTCAACAACCGACAGGTACCACGACGTCCTCACTCTCAGACACTTCGCCTGCTTTACTTTAGGAAAGTGTTGGTTTATCGCGATATTTAACCGAATTATCGCAGGTTTCCAATGTCCTGCAGCTATAGTAACCGACTGCCAAGCTAATAAGAGGCAGACAGAAACGCAGCCTGAAAAGTAAGCCTCAAACTGTCTGTACGATAAATCTGATAAAAACTCTTGAAGTAAAATAAATTATATGACAATATAATTTGAGGCGAGTTAAATTTAACTGCAGGACCTGTGTAAACTTGTATTTTTATTGTGAAGCATGTTTGAGGAGCTCCATCTGTCCCAGCAAAGACCCACAGATCTACGGTCTGTTTGTGTGACTTGTCCACCTAAAGTCAAGACGCACCGCTCCGAGTCAAACATCGAGGCGCATGACGTGCACGTTTTATCCTGTAGCTTTGCAACGAGGTTTATGTTTTAACTGAGCTTTCATGCTCATGCGTTGACATCCTTTACACTAGAGGTCCTGGAGAGCCACGGTTGTTTCAAACTACTGCCATTTGTCAGCACACCAGCTGTGAACGAGCGAGTGACCGTCAGGCTCCTGCAGAGCTTGAAGACCTGCTGAGGAGCAGGAAAACATCTGAAACATGCAGGATCCCTCGAGGAGCACCGCTTGATGCACTTCAGTCATCGACTGTTGGAGCCCTAAAAAAAAAAAGATTTTTATTCTGAATTTACAGAAGTATAAACACAAAAAGGCCCGACGCCTCTCTGGGAGTTGTTCGTGGCGTTTTCCACAGACACATGGCTATTTATACACTTTCATGCAAAATGGCCGAAAAGACCAATCTGCCTTAGAGCTGCCTCTGGTTGTTCATCAAACACCGACGGCTCCGTCCACGTCCCACATGGACGGGAGTCCTCGTGGAACCAAACCAAGCAGAGCTCCGTTGGCTTGAAGTCAGATTAGCGATTCTCCTCATGGTTAACGTTTTAAACTAAACAACGTTGTTGTGGATCATTATCAACTCGGTCTCAGCAATAAATCGGTTTAATCTGTCTGCCGGGTGGTCACGACCACACGTCATCCCTTCATCTCAATATTGAGCCACAAAGCAGGATTACCGTTTCGCCTCTGCTACTATCTCGCTTCACAGCACAAAGGAGCATCGGGAATAGTTGGCGTCAATCGTCCTCGCTGCCCGAGTCCATCCTGAAATCACACCGAGGCGCGTCTTAACCACGGTCTTAGCGGCCAGAAGGAGCCTAAAACAAACAAAAGCCTCGTTTTTTTGTGTTATAATTCTGGATAATCCTAAAATCTGCAGATCTTTAAAAGTACGAGCACACGAACCGAAACGCTCCTGGAGAGAACATGAGTTTTGAAGAAAGTGAAACTGAGACGCTCCTTCGCCACAATCTCGGACAATTAAACAAACATATCTTATTGTTGATGCTGGTTGATAACTAAAACAGCCGAACTAAAAACAGCCGAAACAGCTAAATTAACGGGCTGTGGCTCTGCTGCGGCGCACACACACCTTTTGGTACATCGGTCCGGCAGCAACGTGCACTTTTAGAGACTGAGCATCGAGGCGAAGAGAGCTCACCCCTACACGAAGCACCCCCCTCTCATCTCCAATAAAACACAAATTAACTCCGTCCATCCATCAGCCATCCATCATCCATTCAGCCATCATCCAGCCATCATCCATCCATCATCCATCCATCATCCATCCATCATCCATCCAGCCATCATCCATCAGCCATCCATCATCCAGCCATCCATCCATCAGCCATCCATCATCCATCCATCATCCATCCATCATCCACCCATTCATCAATCCATCCATCCATCCATCCATTATCAATCCATCCATCATCAATCCATCCATCATCCATCCATCCATCCATCAATCATCCATCCATCCATCCATCCATCCATTCATCCATCATCCATCCATCATCCACCCATTCATCAATCCATCCATC